TTTATTTGAAGGATAGTTCATGTACAATGAAATCATTGCTTCAAAGCAAAGGTCAGAGAAGAGGAGATGGGTAAGACCTCAGCAAATTACAAGAAAAAGAATTCAAGAAAACAATAGAAAGCAATTAAGAGAATTGTTTAAGAATGGAACGGTGTTTTAGAAAGTGGAAGATTCATAATAATAGGATAGGATAGGATAGGATAGGATAGGATAGGATAGGATAGGATAGGATAGGACAGAAGAGAAGAGAAGAGAAGAGAAGAGAAGAGAAGAGAAGAGAAGAGAAGAGAAGAGAAGAGAAGAGAACTGGAAGGAACTTTGGAGGTCTTTTAGTCCAGCCCCCTGCTCAAGCAGGAGAATCTATACCATCTCAGACAAGTGACTGTCTGCTAGCCTCTTCTTAAAAATCTCCAATGATGGAGCGCCCAAGATTTCTGGAGGCAAGCTATTCTATTGGTTAGTTGTTCTCACTGTCAGGAAGTCTGTCATAATCATTAAAGGTTTTAAAGCAAAGTCTGAATACCTATATTAGGACTGTTGTAATACTAGATATATCGCCATGCAAGGGATTAGATTATATGACCTTTGTGATATGCTTAAAATTTTAGGTCCATCACTGATCATAAACTTACTCTGAGAACTAATTTTGGTATGTGGGTAGTGACTAGCAATTCCCCCACTTCACTGTTAGGAGTGAAGGAGAAGGATTAGTTGATTAATATCATTTTATTTTAGATAAGCTTGTTTCAGGTATTTTGATTTTGCTAAGTGAAAACCATTTTAACACACATTTACAAGTGTCACCCAGAAAACACCACAAAAGTGAACAGTCCTATCTACCATTAGCATAAGGATCTTCTCTCTATATAAAACCAGTAGCCAATGATACTCTCCTAGCATGTGCATATGTATTATTCCCCCCTCACTTCAAAACAACTCAATCATCAGCATACAAAGTTTGCACACTCTCAAAACAATTATACTGTTGCAAACAGCGCCTACATTAGTACAGGTAATAAGAATAGGATGCACCAGCATGATAGTATGGAGATGAAGGAGGGAAAAAATATAGAAATATTGTTTTCTCTCAACAGAAAAGCTAACACTGGTAGCATCTCACACAAGTGAATTAGATCTTGGGAAGGAAAACAGTCATCTCAACATTTGCCGATACAGAGTTAGAAACAGGAGCTGAGGTTTCTAAATGTGGAGGATTTATCTATGTTTTCTGTAAGAAATACACCTTGTTAGACTATGAAATGCCCTCCAACAAATCTAGCAGGAGACAATTCCAGTATTATTACTTCTGGCACTATCAGGCCTCAGGCAATTCCAAGGTAAACAGTCCAAGTTGGCCAAGATTATTAAGGAGTCTCATTTTGCTATGCAATAAATTCTATTCTCCTTACTATAAAAATATCAGTTCTGTTACACAGGTATATGGAGAACTTACCCTTTATAAAAGTATACTATATTTCTAATTTCTCTCTATTATAGAGAAATGTTTTTAAAGAGGGCAATGCTATCTCTCAAGCAAAGGAGAAACCCACCTTCAGAATTTCAATAACCAGTGAGCTCTTTTTCTCCCTACGATCAATTGCACCCCAATTCTATTAAGCCATAACATTCCCCTCTCAGTCCAGTAATATTTACCACTTTTTCTATTCAGTTACCTAAAATTAAAAAACATTCAAACGTAGTTCAACACATCTGAGAATAGGCACATTATATATGAATATAAAGAACTAAGGTGGAAGTTTTTAAGAAGACACTGGACAACCATTTGTCTGAAATGGTATAGGGTGTCCTGAGCAGGGGGTTGGACTAGAAGACCTCCAAGGTCCCTTCCAACTATTATTATTATTATCATCATCATCATCATCATTATTATTATTATTATTTATATTATTATTATTATTCCTAGATTTCGTTGCTTATCTTTTAACTTTCTGGGTTTTAAAGACTGATAAATCAATGCTGCTGAATAACCACTTCTATCATCATTACCATGACCAGCAATGAGGGACAATAAATTTCTATCTTAACAATATGAAAAAAGCCCTATTATCCACGCTAATCTAAAGCAGGTATATTGACAATGACAGAAAGGATATGCTATCATATTCTTATCCCCCAATCCAATCAACCTGCAAGTTAGTTTTCAAGTTTCCCCTTCATTTTCTACTTTCTCTCTTTAGTTTCTATACTGTAGCAGGCACTGCCTGTTGTCAAATTGCGAACTTTTGTTCCTATGCTGTTTTGTGTGCCAGAATATTCTCAGTTGAAAAGTGTTTCCAAGGCAAGTGATACACACTTGCCCAACTAGTTGATTCTGGAGAGAGAGGCTAGCCCCATAATGACGTAAGCTAAGATAAAATCTTATCACCTATTCTTAGAAGGAACATGAATATTCCTCATTCCGGTTTAAGTCTAAGGGTATTACATCTATATTTCTAATAGCCCATTATCTCCAAAGGGAGTTATGCACCATCCAGACATATTGCAAGTAACACACATCATCTTTTTACAAATTTTCTTTGCTAATCCTAGATTGCTCCTTCCTCAGAAGGCATGGCCTGTTTGATGCTTCTACAAATTGACTCTTTACCCCCACCTTCGTCCCCAAATCATGGCTGATGAGGGTGAAAAGGGATGGAACCTATGAATAATGTCTGCAAGTTGTTTCTTCTCATCTCTCATGTTCATAGTAGAGTATCAATTAAAAACATATTAAATGTAAGTCTAAAGTTATAGGTTCTAACTTATAAGAACCTAAAAACTCTGTTTAAAAAGTGTCATAGACCAGGAGGAAAATAGATTTTTGGACCTATCGTGTCTGCTCCAAAACTGTGTTGATCTGACACAGAGGCTGAAAGAGTTCAAGCTGTAGTATTACAATATGGAGATGGGAAAGAAAAAAATCTTAAATATGCAAATTTGGCAACACATCAAAGTAGGTAGGTAGGTAGGTAGGCAGGCAGGTAGGTATCCATTTTCTAAAATGCTGGTTTGGGCTTTGAATAAACATAGAGAGAATTGGGATATTGGGGAAGGGGACTTTAATGCTGTGCTTCAAGGACAAACAGAAGAATTATGTTGCTGCTAACCCCCCTGCAAATAATGCACCAATAGCAAAATCACCCCTAAAAAAATAATCTGCAGTAATTATTCATACCTGTATTCTCCATACTTAAAAAAGTGTGTAAGACATTATACGATGTCCAGTTGGAGAAGCCTAAAAATGAAGTTTATGTTTACTCAACATAGGGGTCTCCCCTGAACAGTCAAAAGAGACAATATAGGGCTGGTTTTTAGAGGAATAATTTGCTTAATACAACTGCCGACTGTTTCAAGCTAAGGCAGACAGCTGTGTGGGATCTGAAAAAGCTATTACAAAAGTTTCATTTCCTATCACCTGCCTACATGCTTGCCGAGAATAAGAAAAGATTTTAAGGTTTGAAGAGAAGGAGGGTGGCTTGGGGCAAAGCATTCTGAAGTTCCTGGGTTCCAGACTAGGTTCCTCTGCTAACAGTCAGATAGTTGGCCATGAGAGTGGCCTGTACATAGAGAGCTGTGCTGGCAACAGCAATAAAGACTGGGAAAGAGGCTCAAACTCAGAAGCAATAGCAAAGAACACAGAATTCATCATGTGAGATCAGGCAAAAGGCTGCCTCTTTAGCCTGCAAAGTGAGATAACATGAATGTTGGCATTAATAGGCTTGGGCTAGATCAGGGATGTCAAACTGCCGGCCTCCAGCCAGATGCATCATGCCGAAACTGCACCCACCCCATGTGACATGTCATGTGACTTTGCAAGTTTGACACCCCTGGGGTAGATCATCTTTGAGTTAGCAAACAACTTTGTGACAAAGATTTACAGAGCTAATTTAACCAGTATGAAGACACCTGATGTTTTAAGGCTGGTATTTAAGAAAAACACTTACAACTTTTGTCCATCTTGGGAGATAACAAAACAACTGCTCTCTCCTGCCAAGACAGGCAGGTATTGTCTCCCTCTCTCTCTCTCTCCCTCACACACACAACCACGTACACAAAGTCCCCTGGGTCCCCCACTTCTCTACTAATGCTCCAGCTGCTGTGAAGAAAGTAAAGAGTTAAGTTAGCTGAGTATTTGGCTGGATACTCCAAGAGAAAGAAGGAATAGTCTGTTCAGCCAAGTGTTTCAATTCCCTCTGTCCTCCCTGCCCCCTTCCAAAACAGCACCAAGCAAGAGACAGCTGCAGCTTATAAGGAATGTGAGGGGCCCAGACAGGGACTCCAGGGAAGGAAACCAGGCCTTATATGGCCATGGAGGCAGAATCCAATTTTTATCAATGAGCCAGGAGCACAGAGACGCCCAGGCAGAGATAGCCAAAAATCAGAGCTGCTCCAGGCGGTCCTAGCAGGAAAGCAAAGAGCACCTGCCACATTCTGCCCAGCTCAGCCACCCAGCGCCTGCTGCCATTAGAGGAAGGCAAGACACAGGCTGTTTCCATCTCACATCGGCAGATATCCAGCACATCTACTCTGGTCCCAGGGAAGGTGGTGGGGGAAGGGAGAAGAGCCTCCCAGGAGAAGTAACACTAGCTAAGTCTGAGCAATCAAAGCACTCTCAGTCAGCTTCAGCCTTTCTCCCAGCCAAACTTTACTGAAGCTGGATAACATGTGCACAGAGAGAATTGCTGGGGATCAGGGGGTGCTGCTGCTCCCCAAATCAAAGCCCAACAGCAGAATCCAAGTCCTAATAGCTCCTAATTATTGCATGATCCAGAGCATCCCATTTTTTTCTTTCTAAATAAAGTTAAGTTATGGGAATTAACTCTTACCCTGCTAGATGTCAGTACTCTTGCTGCAAAATGCAGTGAAGGAAACAGTCTCGCCTTTGCAGTTAAGCTGGTAATACATAGGTTTACTGCATTAAAACACATGCAGATGGCAACAATGCTAGCAGTTCTTTCTCTCTCCAAAGACTGACAAGATAAGGTAAAAATTCAGGATACCTTTGTTTCTCCACTGCTGTCTGACTCAGACACCTGATACGTAAGGTCCGTTTCCTCAAAGCCCGTAGCACTCATGCGCTGATCGCTGGTTGGATCCGACCGAGGAGGGGAGTCAGGAGAATTCAAGCATGTCTGGATCAGTGCCTTCCCCGTCTCGCTGGTGATCATTGGCTGCAGTTTCCGTGTAGCAAAAGTGTAGACGTGGCCTGTCTCACTGGCCACAAGTAGCAACACTTGAGTACCCGTAAGGGTGGAAAGTTCATAGGCCTGAGGTAACAACAACAAAAAAAAAGAAGATAGTGAAGAAAACCCACAGTCAGGAACAGATTCTGAAAAATGTCACTAGTAAGAAGAGGAAGTATAACTAGATTCATCTCACAACAGGACATGAGATACCCTTTTGAGTTGATTATGGATTACGTAAACTATAATGCAGTTTGACATTCAAGAAGCCACAGTTAAAACAAACCATGGCTGAGAATATACATGATTTTAACCAACATGGACATCTCTTAAGTTTCATTCCACAATACTTAAAAAAATAGTACTAAATGACTATATGAGGATCTATTGCTAGTATTCATGTGATTCTGGATAAATTACAGCTTTCCTACTGTATTGCTATGCTAGGTGCAGCATTAGTTGACCTTGGCTGGATGTCAGAAACCTAAGCAGAGTCAAACCTAGTTACTATGTGGATGAAAGACCATATATAAAGAAAATGCAGGGCTAAAGACTAGATTGGGAAGTTAAACAGAAGCAACAACCTGGAGAATGATGACTACAAACCATTCCTGTTTTACTGCCAAGAAAATTATATGGAAATCTCCATGTAGCTACCTTGACTCAAGGAGGCTTATTTTCATTTAAAACAGCAAGCTCTTTGAGGTGCAACAGAGACATGAAAACAATAAAAAATGATAGACCTTATGGTTTAGGAGGTATACAACTGCTTATATACTCACTATTCTGCAATTATGAGCAGAAAGTTGCAGTAGTATCATTCACAAGCATAGTTCCTTCCATTTGCAATCAGAAAATGCCATTCCAACAATTCTAGGTTTATGTATAGGTAGTCCTTGATTTACAACCACAATTGGGATCAGAATTTCAGCCATAAGTCAATATGGTTATAAGTTGAATCATCGTGCGACAGGACTTGATTTTATAATGATTTTTAGCATAGTCATTAAGCAAATCACAGTCATTTAGCAAATTGTGATCAAGTGACCGCAAGATGCTGCAACCAGTCATAAATGCAAGCCAGTTGCCAAGCACTCTTAACTGCAATCACATGACTTCGGAGGTGATGCTACAGTTATACGTGCAAGTACGGGTTGTAAAGCACTTTGTCCAAGGCAGTCATGCCTTTCAATCATCCTTAAACAAACACCTGTAAGTTGGGGACTACCAGTATATAATGGCATAGTTCATATGGTGTGTTAATTTTGCTTGGTTCCTTCTTCGTTCATTACAGATACCATAACGCACAGTTGGTATGCGAAGCCTGAAATGTAGCCTTTCTAGCCTGAGGCCTCCAGATCACACAGCCAATGAAGTCAACTACAAGTCTCAAAAGCTTGTGCATTAACAAATGTATTGAGTTAAATAACAAGATTTCTTATCGGTAAAAAAGGTAAAATAGTGACAGTTATATTTCAGAAAACTGCCCAATAGAATGCACTACAGATAAAACTTTATGTAAAGTTTAATGTAATCTAAAGTTTATCATTTTGAATTTTTTTTTAAAGAATACTGACTCTGAGTCTTGAAATCAGATTTGGTGTTTGAGAAGAAAATACTAACCTACTAACCATATAGAAATAAAACAAGTGGCCAGCATACCAAACCACAAATCTACCTCTGAAGTTTATGTAGACCATAATTTCATTTCCCAACTTAGTTCCTTCCAGTTATTGTTTTTCCAAACAAAACTTCCCCCCCCTTTCTATTAACAAGCTAAGACAATAATATGAATTTAATACAACTGCATAACCTGGGAAAGATATGCTTGATTATAGCAAACTTTGCTCCACTTTTTAATTCCAGGATGAACAGTCAGGATAGAGATGCTTTCTTGGAAATGGGACAGTAAAAATGAAAATATTAAAAATAAAGTGTATGCCATATTGAAGACAAGAGTAGCAAACAGGCAATCTGACAAAAAAAGTTACTTGAGGTAGGATGACAGAGGACATAGAATAAAGATGAAAAAGGTTCTAAGCTAAAACATGCAAGTTAAATGGGTAGCCTCCAAGTCCCAAACATTTCATTTTGGTAACGCATGTGTAAATAATTCTATCTTTCCAATTCTTCCACATATTGTGCAATGTATCAGCCACCTGGCAATGTTGTGTTCACTCTTTATCTACCATGTTCGCTACGTCCTCATCTCTACTAACCCATTTTGCCAATTTCTTCAAGTCTTGTTCTTCTCCAAATAGTTCTTCAAAATACAAAGCTAATTGGACGCCAGGCCCGTAAATCTGTGTATTGGTTTCACATGAGGCAAGAACCACATGATGAAGCACCTATTACATCTGATGCTCAAAAGCCAAGCTCCAGTGGTGAGAAGGAGCAAAACGGAAAAGGCCAGCGCATAGCACAATTCAATATGTGGCTAAAGGAGTGGTGTAAAGGGGAAGGCTTTGGATATATTAGTCACGATGTCAGTAGCTGGTCCAATCAAAAGATGTACAAAAGAGATGGTTTGCATCCATCAAAAAAAGGGACTGAGTTACTCGGCTATAAATTCACAGATTTTCTGGAGGGAAATTTAAACTAAACAGCGGGGACAGGGAGTTAATTGATACGGAACAACCCTGTCCCCGGCAATTTAAAAACTATAGGGCTATCAGTGCATGTAGCATAGATGTGTGTGTGGACAAGAATACCAACCTTGCTATCAATCAAAATGAAGCCTCTAATAGCGAGTGCCACATAAAGTGCACTAACCAAATAGGTGGTAAGACAATAGGGGAACTCAGGCACCACACAGGTTATGTAGAAAGGAAACACAGGGCCACCCACAAAGGACTCAAATGTTTTTACACCAATGCACAGAGTATGAACAGCAAACAGAGTGAACTAGAAATTCAGGTTAATGAGGGCAGATACGATATTGTTGCCATTACGGAAACATGGTGGGGTGAAACTCACACATGGAACACACAGCTAGAGGGATTTAAATTATTTAAAAGAAACAGACCAAATAAAAGAGGAGGTGGAGTTGCTCTCTATATAAGAAATAACTACATCTCCACAGAAATAGAGTACAACAATGATAAAAACTATCTTGAATGCATTTGGGTCAATATAAAAGGGGGGGGGAAATGACATTGCCATAGGTGTATACTACAGACCACCCAACCAAACAGAGGAAATAGATGAACTTTTTGCCTAGTCAGCTAACTAAGGTATGTAGGAAGCACATCACAATAGTAATGGGGGACTTTAACTACCCTGACATCAACTGGGAGACAAACTCCGCACCAAGTGGAAGATCAAACAGGTTCCTGGCAAACCTAGCAGACAACTTTGTCTCCCAAAAAGTAGAGAAGGGAACTAGGGGATTAGCCATTTTGGATCTAATTCTCACTAACAGAGATGAAATGATAGACGGTGTTGAAGCCATAGGAACCCTGGGAGGAAGTGATCATGCAATATTAGAATTCAACATTATAGAAGCACAACCAATAGAACACAGTCAAACTAGAGTCTTGGACTTCAAGAGAGCTAATTTCAATAAACTTAGAGAGGGCTTGGGAAGGATTCCATGGATGAGAATCCTCAAGGGGAAAACAACTCAAGAAGCTTGGGAAATTTTGAAAAATGAGATAATAAAAGCACAGTCTAGCACAATACCAACAAAGAGGAAAAACAACAGCTCTCAAAAGAAACCAGCATGGCTGCATAAAGAACTCTCTGACAAATTGAAAGATAAAAAGGACAAGTATAGAAAGTGGAAAGAGGGGAACATAACTAAGTCAGAATATCAGCAAATAGCCCGAGCCTGCAAAGATGAAGTGAAGAAAGCCAAGGCTCAAAATGAACTAAGGCTTGCGACCAAAGTCAAAAATAACAAAAAAAGCTTCTTTCAACATGTAAAAAACAAGAAAAAAGTGAAGGAAACGATTGGTCCATTAGTGGGTGGAAGTGGCAAGAAGGTGACAACAACAGGGAGAAAGCAGAACTATTTAACTCGTGTTTTGCATCTGTCTTTACACAAAGGGAAAAAACAGACCAACCTATCAAAAATAGTGCCATAAAAAACAAAACAGAAACACAAGTTAAGATAGGCAAGAAAATGGTTAGGGAGCACCTGTCCAGCCTAGATGAGTTCAAATCGCCAGGACCAGATGGATTACACCCCAGAGTTCTCAAGGAACTGGCAGATGTGATATCGGAGCCACTGAACTATATTTTTCAAAGATCCTGGAACACAGGGGAACTACCAGAGGACTGGAAAAGAGCTGATGTAGTTCCCATCCTCAAAAAAGGAAAAAAAATGGATCCAGGAAATTACAGACCTATCAGCCTGACCTCAATACCTGGGAAGATCCTGGAAAAGATAATCAAACAACGAATCAACGAACACCTAGAGGCAAACAAAGTCATTACTAAAAGCCAACATGGGTTTGTCAAAAATAGATCATGCCAGACAAATCTTATTGCATTCTTTGACCAAGTGACAAAATTAGTGGATCAGAGGAATGCTGTGGACATAATTTACTTGGACTTCAGTAAGGCATTTGATAAAGTAGATCACAACCTACTACTTGACAAGATAGAAAAATGTGGGGTAGACAGAACCACCACCAGATGGATCCGTAGCTGGCTGACCGGCCGTACTCAGCGAGTGGTCCTCAATGGAACTGCATCTATATGGAGGGAAGTGTGTAGTGGGGTGCCCCAGGGCTCTGTTCTGGGCCCAGTACTCTTCAACATCTTCATCAATGACTTGGATGAAGGGATAGATGGGGAACTCATCAAATTTGCAGACGACACCAAGCTGGCAGGAATAGCCAACACTCCAGAAGACAGGCTTCAGATACAGAAGGATCTGGACAGACTTGAACACTGGGCACTAACTAACAAAATGAAATTCAATGGTGAAAAAAGCAAGGTTCTACATTTAGGCAAGAAAAACCAAATGCACAAGTACAGCATAGGTGGCACCATGCTCAATAGTAGTAACTGTGAGAGGGACCTCGGAGTCCTAGTAGACAATCACTTAAATATGAGCCAGCAGTGTGCTGCAGCTGCCA